CGCAAAAGTACTATATCAGTTTGAAATTTATCTTATCTCAAACATAAAATACAACATATTTTTTAGAGGAAAAAGATACAAAACTATTTTATAAATTTTCAACATTTTAATGTAAGAGAATCCAATTGAAAATAGTAGTTTTATATTTATATTTAGTAAATCCTAGACAAGGCCCTCAAGATCTTAAGGGTTCTTTTAATGTGCCTTTAAAAAAATACTGAGTCTAGCAACAAACTCTGGTGTAGCAAAATACTGCAACTGCTAAGTTTTCATTAACATGGCTTCTTTACTTACAAAGCAGACTTTCCTTAATAGTACCCACTAAAATGTTGGTTTATAATGTGTAATTTATACAGTGCTAATAACTTAAAAAATATTCCGTTTTAGACTTCAACTCTTTGGCCTATTTTCTCCACTCGCGTCATATCAGAGACACTTCACGGTAACTGGTTTTCTAATAGAAAAATCCTAAGACAGATAATTCAGGTGCTTTCCTGATTGTGCGGCAGCCTCATTCAGCCACAGTGGCAGGAACACTGAGGGGGAGCGGGGCTGCCCCTGGACTGACATTCGTGGGGAGGGACCTTCCCCTGTGACCTTCCAGAACTGCAAAGGGAAGGCTCTTCTCCACACCAACAGACTGACCATGAAAACCCTTCACTTTCTAAAATGAAGGCGGTATAGATAGATACATAGATGGAGACAGATAATTATCAGCCTTACTGATTCACTTAGATCTCCTGAAAAAAATTTCTTTAAATAAAAATGATAAAAGAATGTCCTTAAATATGAAAGTCAGTAAAAAGCACTTCTGTTATCCTGTTATATACAAATATTCACATAGGAAATCCCGCAAAGTGAAAGAAGTGTAGAACAGTATCGTGACGTGCATTTTGAAAATAAAGATTATTATCTTCACCTTGTCTTTGAATTCTCCATTGAAAGCAAAGCGGTTTTCTGGTTTTCCTTCTGGCACCTTATAAAATCGAAACCAATTAAGCGTAGCTTCCAAGTAACCTGGTTTGTACTTCTTAACATCGTCAATATCTGTAAGTGAAGACACAAAAAGAGTTTTTGTTCAAAAGTCAAATTTCATTCCTATGAGTGTAGACGCTGGACTGCGGGAGTCAGAGAACACGGGGTCTTGCCTGGCTTCGCCGAGGACAGCCACTCAGCCACCAGCAGACGCCGCGCCCCCTCCGGACTTGTGCCATTTCCCATGAGGAGCGTTACTCCTCCCCTCTAGGAACACTTCTGAGCACCCTCAGACACTGGTTAGCTTCAGGGCACAAGCCGATGGGACGACAGAGTCCTTCTCAAGAGCTCAGAGGCCTAACGAAAGGAAACAGACAGCACACTGCGACCCAGAGAGAAGAGCAGGTGGGACATCGCTCCGCAGGCAGGGAGGGTGAGCGGGGAGGTGACAGCAGCAGGATCTGTGTTTTTGAGCTACTAAGCTAAGGAGGGCTGAAGGGAGTGGAAGGAGCACCCCAATGCTGGCCCAGAGGGCGCCGCACTCACACGCCGATATCCAGTAAGCTCCTCACCGTGTGCCAGCACGTTCTAAGCAGGAAACGGAACAGTGAACAGGAACCACTCCCCGTTCCCAAGGCTCTGGCAGCGGGAAGACACAGGCAAATAAGGAAACCCACAACGTGTTAAGTGGCAAAAGGTCCGAAGAAGAAAAACAAAGCAGGGTAAGAAAGACAGAGACGGTGGACAGGGCACCCTTAAACAGGGTGATCCTGGAGAGGGCCCAGAGTTTTCCATTTCAAATCCTGTAATGATTTACAGGGCTTATTTTTAAGTTCTATTACCACATAAACAGCTTAACCACTACATTTGGAGGACATTTACTCAAATATAGCTGGAAATATTACTGTATGAATAATAATAGATCCCTCCCCAAAAGAAGTCCCAAGGAACATATCCTTTCCAATAAACATCAATTCAACAAGTATGAGGAATAACGAGATAAAAGCAGAAGGCGTAGCTCTCCACCAGGCCGTGCTTACGGGAAACGCACAGTCCTCTCTGTACAGGCCATGAGGGCAAACGACTCCTCAGGGCTTGAAAGGTCAAGAAGTCACGACTGAGCACAGGAGACGGCACCATGCAGGAGACGGCACGGGGATAACTCAGCATCACCTGGTTTCAGACCTGCTCCTCCACCCTGGCGGGAGCCCTTAGCAGGCACGTAGGAAGGGGGACGCATTCTGCAGGCGCGGGTTACACAGAGAGGACTACCCTGCTGCCTGACATGGAAGGCTTTAGCGAAAGGCCAGATGTGTCAGAGGACAAGGAGCATGGCAAGGCAGCGACGGCGGCCCACAGCATTGAGTACACTGCCCAGAGGAACAGAGATTCAAAAATTTACAATATGTCAATGGGCCACACATCTATCTGAAGTAATTCTGGAGGAAATAGCACAAACGTCACAACTAACTAAAGAAAGAAGAATTGCTTCACACTGAACACAGGCTCTGCCTGCTCCATCGGCACAGTCAGCACATGGGCAGGCGGTGGGGGAGGCTGAAGACAGGGAATTCTGAAGATCAAGACCACATCCTTTTAGGATTATACACTGCATCCAGGCCTGGAGTTCTGTCACGCCCCAGACAGAACACTCAACAATATGCACCTGACACATGTCGTTTCCCCTTCAAATTCTTATTATTTTTTCTGCTTATCTTATTAAAAGAGCTTCTTTCCAAGGTAAGCTTTCTACTGATCATTTTTCTATATCCTTTCACTGTTTTTGCAAAAAAAAAAAAAAAAAGGAAAACCTCCATCAATTGAGTTCCTCCAACTCACTGTTTTCTTATTCAGAGGAAAAAAAAATCTTTCAGTCCTAGAGGTGAGCAACCAGAAACACATTTTAACCAGTGTCAAAATAAACAATCTTCTTTTTTAAATCTTCTTAAACATCATTATTTTTTTGTAGTAATTACAGGCATCTGCTTTAGAAATGGGTATAAATAATAATACATTTAAACCGCAGTTCATACAAACTCTAAAGTCGAGTTAAAGAGTGCTGTAAGAATGTTTCACAAATTTGCATTACTCTCTAAGGACAACTAAACACAATAAACTAAATTGCTAATGAGGAAATTAAACTCACTAATTTGCAATGAAAAGCAAAAACAGCATATATTCCATCACCAATTCAAGGCAAAACCGATGTTCCATCTGTGATAGAGCTTTTTTGATCAAGTTGTGAAATTCTCAAAATCTAAGTGTGCCCAATAGGAGATTGAGTGCTTGCAAAGCACTGCACGTTAGTCACGCTCTTAAAAAAATTACTGAATAGCCCAGGAAATTCTAACTGTTATGAGGCATTCTTACTTCTAGTAACCACCACTAACACATTGAGTGGTTTACTAGCAAAGTTAAAAATAAATAAAGATGAGATTTCAGCACATTAGGTGAATGCACTCATGGACTCAGGACTATAATAATAAAATAAATAAGTAAACAGCTTCTACTTATTTAGCATTGATTAAGGGGCAGACACTGTTAATAAGGGCTTTGTGTGCATTCACTGACTATCATCAGTCCTTCAGACTCCTTGAGAGCATCCATGGAGTAGATACTAACATCAGCTCACTTAAAGAGAAGGAAACTAAGAGACTGCACAACCTAACCTGGACTGAGAAGGTCCTGGTTTCAAATCTTGTCTCTTCCACGCTTTTTCTGACTTTCACAGTCAAACAACTTCTTTGGCCTCTTGTTGCCACCTCTGCGAAGTATCTGGGTTTTATTTTATTTGTTTTTTTATTGCAGTAACATAGGTTTATAACATTATGTAAATTTCAGGTGTACATCGTTATATTTCTATTCCTGTGTGGACTACGTCATGTTCACCGCCCAAAGACTAATTGCACCCCATCACCACACAGGTGCCATCATCCCTTCCCCTCCTCTGTCCCCTCTCCCCCTCTGGTAGCCACCAATCCAACCTCTGTCTCTACGTGATTGATTGTCGTTGTTTTTATCTCCCATTACTCACACCTGACTGATGCCTTCATCACTGTCCCTTATCCCGTCTACACACTCTGTCCCACTGCATACACCTTCTGGTAATCGCTTTTTAACTTACTGACTTTAAATAAGAAAGGAAAAGCCACACTACTCAACACCTATCTCAGCTCTTTCTCTTAAGTTTTGAAGGGGCCTGTTAAGCAGAGACATCAGCAATAAAAACCTGAAAATCTAAGAATGCTAATAAGCAGCGTAACTCTCTAAATACAAGCTAAACTTTTCCATTCTCAATTAATTATATCGTGGGGGAAAAACAGCTGCATTTCCACCAAAAACAAAACATTTCAAATAAGCAATTTAGACATTTGTAAAACCTCCACAGCAAATGCCTTGAGCCAGAATCTCATGTCCAGTAGTCAGTTCAATGAGTCACTCTTCTGAACGCATGAAAAATTCCACCTAAAATCTCAGACTGATTTGCAGTTTATAAAAGAATTTTATATAAATAACCTCATTTGTTCCTCATAAAACTCCTCAGAGTTGAGAAGAATAAGCACATTCATATTAAACATAAGAAAACTACAGTTAAGAAAACATAACAGATTTACCAAAATTTATCCAACTCATTCATGGTAGAAATAGTATTATGTAAATAAATGCCTTCAGGCGGCCGGCCCCGTGGCCGAGTGGTTAAGTTCATGTGCTCCGCTTCCGCGGCCCAGGGTTTTGCCAGTTTGGATCCTGGGCGCGGACATGGCACCGCTCATCAGGCCACAGTGAGGCAGTGTCCCACATAGCACAATCAGAGGCACTCACAACTAGAATATATAACGATGCACTGGGACTTTGGGGAGAAAAAGACAAAAACGAGGAAGATTGGCAACAGATGTAAGCTCAGGGCCAATCTTCCTCACAAAAAAAAGCATTAAAAAAAAAGGAATTCTAATGTAGCTTTTAAAAATCTTCGCTTTTTCTTCTATGCTGTGCAGTAATATTGTTATATTAAAAGAATATACGTATATTTTTATCTTAGTTTTCTTTTATTGTGGTAAAATACACATAACATAAAATTTATCATTTTTAAGTATATCATTCAATGGCATTTGTACCTCCATAATGTTGTGCAACCATCACTATTATCCATTTCCAGAATTTTTACATTACATGTATTTTTTACAATATACATTATTTAAGAAAAGCAGCAACTCTCTAGTAGTCATTTATCCCCAGTCTTGGAATTAATTTTATATGAAAGTTTCTATTTTGATAATTACATAAGTTATTGTCAAGATGAACTAAACCAACAATAAAAGTTAGAATAATCTAGAAGAGCTCTTTTATGTAGTAATCAAGCTAAATTTATTTCAGTTTCTGTTTTTAATTATAAGTCAAACTCTTAATCGAGATCTACTTGACCAGCTCCTGGACGGTTAACAAAGACCCTCGGCGCGCGTAAGCCATTCTGACAGACGTCCACAGCAGTCTGCGCACCGAGTCTGGCCAACTGCTCCAGAAGGAGGCCCACCCTTCGTTCCACAGGCAAATCTCAGCTTCAGCAAGCATCAGGTGTGTTTATCCTCAAAGCGTTTATGTCAATTGTACCTGTTGTTATAATTACGAGATTTAATGAAATATTACATATGGCAGTGACTTCATCAGTACAAAAGAGGGATTTTGTTTCTATAATTAATTTGAATGTTTTGAAATAATTCAATAAAACAGGTTGATAAAAATATCTGCTGTCAAATTAGGCCTGGGTAGGGAAACAGAGACGAGGAAAAGACATAAAAATCCATGATCATGCACGTGCTCTGCCAGTCAGCAGGAAGACGATTTTAGATATTCGAGGTCAAGGCCGGCCTCTGACAAAAGGTATTTTCCTAAATTCTTGGACAAAGTGTGGGAGCAACTCAAACATCTAGAAGGGGAGGATTTCTGGGAGGAAGACCTGGGAGGTGTGTGCCAACATCCTGGGGCACAAGCGTGCTCATGACGTCCAAGGAGGACAGCGAGAAAGCCCTGTGGTTAGCGCAGAGTGGAGAGAGAGGCAGCAGGTGAGGTCAGAGCAACAGCCCCAGGCCAGGCTCTGGGTCAAGGGCCTCATGAGGACTCTGCCTGCACCTTGAGAGCAGCCACGAAGAGCCTAGGAGGCGCGCTCTGGACTGTGTGGGGAAGAGACTGCGAGGGGAGGAGCGGGGGTGGACCCCCAGCGAGGGGCACTCAGTGTCCACGCGGGTGAAGCTCAGCGAGCGCCGGGAGGAACACAATGGTTTGCAGGCACAACAAATGGTCAGTTCTGGGTATTTTCAGAAGGAGAACTGAGAGGTATTAACAATAAATGAAAAACTTAAGAACAACAAAAAGCAGTAAAGATCAGACTTACATAACAAAGGATCAAGGAGCTGAAAAGGACTGGTCTGTACATCGAGTGACAATGGAACTACCGTACAGCTAAATGCAGTCCCCCAAACACCCATCACCTGGTTTCTCCAAAAGCCTCAGAGCAGGTGTCACGACCACTGACACGCGGCGTGCGGCCAGAGCTCCTCTGCACCCAGCTGCTTCCAAGTCTGAAAGTTCAACCAACAACACTCACGTGGCATCTCGGGCCAGAATCCTCACACTAAAGCTAAGGGCACATGACACAAATAACCACAGTTCTATATAAATCCCCTGGAAACTTTATAACTTCCTTTCTCACATGCTCGCTGAAAAGCAAAACAGAAAATAAGGATGCGATACAACAACAAACTTTGAAGTTCAATTTGGTTTTTCCAAGTCAAAGAGCTCTCCATTTAATTCAGCTTTTCTTAACTAATTTTGACTTAGGAATTTATAAAAGCAAAGAAATTAATCTAAGCTATCTCAGTCAAAACCTACCACTCTATCTCTGTAGACACGACAGGATCCTAACACTTTCCACTTTTTAAAAGCAATCTCTTGGCCGGCCTGTGGCCTAGTGGTTAAGTTCGGTGCGCTCTGCTTCGGTGGCCCAGATTCAGATCCCACTCATCAGCAGGCATGCTGTGGTGGCATCCCACATACAAAATAGAGGAAAACTCACAGATGTTAGCTCAGGGCAAACCTTCCTCAGCAAAAAAAAACAAAGCCATTTTTATGATTTATCTTTTCCCTTTATCAGGGATATGATATACCTTTCATGTAATCAAGTTTCTTTCCAGTATAAACCAATTCACTTGTTTCTAAAACCTAACAGAGTGACACAAATTGTGATCTAATAAGCAAAAATAAAAGTTGGCTTTTGAATTGAAAATTTCTTTCTGTCCTTTTTATCTAAGATATGCTCTCTCACATTAGGGGAGTTTCTAGTCACAGGTGTTTGCCAAGACTTCAATTTTACCCAGATTTCAGAATTAAACTAAACATACTTAACACAATACTATATTTTTGCCAAATAAGCAAATAGTAATCATGTAAATGAGGTGAAAAATCAAGTTGATACAGTTCATTTTATACATACAGCTGATGGACAATATGAGAGAGAAATATCTAAAGGATGAGTTTTTCTTTTCATGAGGAAGATTGGCCCTGAGCTAACATCTGTTGCCAATCCTCTTCTTTGTCTTTGAGGAAGGCTGTCGCTGAGCTAACATCCAGTCTTCCTCTGTTTTATGTGGGATGCCGCCTCAGCATGGCTTGACAAGTGGTGTGTAGTCCACGCCTGGGATCCAAATCTATGAACCCTGGTACACTGAAGCGGAGCAAATGTAACCACTAAGCCACCGGGCTGGCCCCAAAAGGATGAGATATTTTTAATCGAGAGACATATGAAAGCACTCGTGAACTTTAAAAATGATTACATACTAAAAACAGAAAAATTATGAAATGTGAAGCATGAGAAAATTATGACAACACATTCAGTAAGCAAACTACAGTAAATCCAAAGATGAGCAATAAAAAATTTTAAATAACTCTCTTGCCAACCAAAAAAGAGCCACATCCAGTCCTCTCAACTTTTATATAATTAAAAATTGGACAAGAAAAACAAACAAAAAAGAAAGTACACTCTTAATAAATAACTTTTTGGTCCAAAAGAAAATAGAAACTCTAACTAAGAACATGCAGAAAATCAGGGCCATAAGAAGACTCGGAAAGTCTGTAAGAAGAATGAGGTGAGCCAGGAGCAGCCTCCCGTTCGGAATCGAGCAGCACTAAATCCAAACGCCAGCCTGGTGCTCACATGCTACGTTATCCGGGGAAAACATGACTTTGCCTGTTTCTTCTTACACTAAACAGAGAAAAAGAAACCAAGGCTGCTGTAGGATTAAATAAGATAAGATATGAAAATCATCTAATAAAAAATAAAGGATAATTCTTAACAAATATTATCATCCCTCCAATTCCCTAAAACCTTGTCCATAGGACGCAGCCAAAGTTGCACTCAGACACAAACCTATAGCCTTACATACTATTATCTCTCAAAAATAAACAAATAAATAAACATAAATTAATGATTTAAAAAATTACTAAATATATTTTCATTGTCTGTTATTTTATTTTTAATATGTATAACTCTGCCAAAAAATCAATGTAGCTAGGCATAGATATAAACAATGTCAACAAACACTAAAGTAACATATAAAAGAAAGGCATCTAACAACTAGAAGGACCTGCAACTAAGATATACAACTATGTACCGGGGGGATTTGGGGAGATAAAGCAGAAAAGAAAAAAAAAAAAGACTACTTAGCAACTAACGCTTTAAAAAAAAAAACAAGAAAGGCATCTGGACACACAGACACACAGATACACATGCACACTTGTTCACAACCTTCTTCTATAAACACACTCTTTTTATGGTAATGATCAGGCCTCAAATGAATATGTAATTAATATCTTATTTAATGATAGACATATTTAACTTTATTTCTAATATTATTACACTTTAGTTCTTATAAAGTTTTTTCATTTCTAGTATGTTTAATATAAATGAACATTTTTTTTTAACATTTGGAACAGAGACGGAATATATAAATAAAATTACTTTTTTTGGGTGGGGGGGGATGAAGATTTGCCCTGAGCTAACATCTGTTGCCAATCTTCCTCTCTTTGCTTGACAAGATTAGCCCTGAGCTAACATCCATGCCAACCTTCCTCTATTTTGTATGTGGGATGCTGCCACAGCATGGCTGACGAGTGGTGTAGGTCTGCATCCAGGATCCAAACCTGGGCTGCTGAAGCAGAGTGTGCCGAACTTGACCACTAGGCTATGGGGCCAGCCCCAAAATGACTGTTATTTTTGAAATGAGACTTTCACTCAGTTTAAGTATATTAACCAAATTATCAGCAATTAAAAACAACACTCAACTTTCCAAAGCAGTTTACTTTACAGAAAACAGAAACTCTGACAAAGATGAGGCACTGAATTCATGTTTCAACACACTCCCTCAGGTTAACCCACAGCCAAGCTAGCCACTTATAAAAAGAGAAAACCAAAAATACTCCAGAACAAGATAAGCACTCTGCAGACTCAGTGTGGAAAGAAAACACCTGTTGGTAAAAGCAGGGTGGCCACATGCGTTATTGCACACACTGGAGTACGGCTGAGCCTCCTATTGAGAGAAAAAGCAGTCAACAGAAACCAGTCCTGAGATGACCCACGCAAACCAGGATTTTAAAGCAGTTAGTGTGAACACATCCAAGGACCTTCAGGAAAACATGGTCACAATGCATAAACACGTGGAAATCTCAGTTGAGGAATAGAAACTGTAAAACTACCAACCAGATGAGGGAGTAGCTGAATGAAAAGTCACGTGGGTTTAATAGCAGAATGCGCATGTGGCAGAGAAAATCAGGGAAGTAGGAGACAGACCAACAGAAATTATCTGGTCTGAAGAACAGTGAGGAAGAAAGACTGAAGAGACACAGAGAGAGTGCCAGTGACCTGTGAGACAATAAACAGTGGTCTACAACATGTGCAGTATGAGTCTCAGAATAAAGGTGAAAGAGAATGGGTGAAAAAATAATAGCAAATAATTTCCCAAATGTGGCACCAACATGAACTCACAGATTCGCAAGTTCAGTATACCCTAAGCCAGACAGATCTAAAGGAAAGGACACGTTAGCATTTATCACAGAAAAACTGCTGAAATCTGACAATAAGGAGAAAATCTCTAAAACAGTCTGAGAAAACAACATATTATACACCAGGTAACAACACATTGACTGTTGACTTATCATCAGAAACAGTGGAGGCCAAAAGAAAAGGGAAGATCTTTACAAATCCCTCCAACTCAAAATTCTACACCAGTGAAACCATGCGTCCAAAACAAAGGCAGGAGAAGACAATTTCAGATCAAGGAAAATGAGGAGAATTCCTCACCAGCAGACCTGTACCCCAAATGATGCTGAAGTTGTCAAGTTGAAGAAAAACGAATCCAGACAGAAACTATAGATCTTCAAGAAGCAATGAAATAGGGTATGAAAGTGCAAATATGTGGGTAAATATAAAAGAACACATACGTGTGTGTGTGAATTTTACTGTTAATTTTTCTAAAGGACATTTATTGTTTAAGACAATATGAAACAAAAGCACAAAGGATGGATGGAGGTTCTGGGAGCAACTGGACCTCGCATGCAAC